CCACATATTTTGGTATACCACATGGGCACTGGAACCGATTCTATGTGAATACCAAGAGATAATTCTAGCCTACTGAAAAACAATGTCCAGTGTGCCGGGAAATTGAGTGACATTATAAAACACCTAACTTTAAAAACATCAAATATTATGCGACATCTAACAACAGAGATTTGCTGTCAACCTCAATTCAGTGAGTATCTAATCATACATAAGAAGCCTTACCATAAAGAACTTTGTCCCAAGGAACTTTCCCTGTTAACCCATCAGGGATAAAGATAAATGAATGGCCTATTTGAAAACAATGCCCATGGGGTCACAGTAATAGCATACAAATAACATACCCACAAAGCATTCTTGGTATTGTCTTCCTAAGACATGAGTTTTTCTTTATGCAGAAAAACTAACAGTTCTGAAGATAACTTATAAATATTGTACTCATCTGCGTACTACAGCTTATTCTCTGAAAGTTTGAAAAATTCAAATGTATTTCTTAATAATTCCTTTCTACTGAAGATATTTATTAAAATAAGGTAAGAAAAGATACTAGTCTTTAAAGGCTAGGCATTGTCAAGGAATATTGGAATTAGAGTAGAATGTTGTGACTAATATCTGTATGAAAGGCAGAACATCTCATTTCAAGGAGTTTTTTCTAAACTCTGAAAATACCTAGTTCACTGACTTTAGAAACAACTAGATTAATTTGTTAATTAAATCTCTTAAGTCTCTGAATTAAATAGTACTTAAAAACATTTAAGTTTCAATAAACAGTATATCTGAGAGATACTGAAAGACCCAAATGATGAAGACTTTATTCAATCAGGTGAATATGTAACATGAATCAATTTTTTTAAAGTATGGTGAAAATTTTGTGGTTTGATTTGTGCTTGTGTTTCATCCAGATGAATTGGTACCAGATAAAAATTACTTTTATTTCTCCTTATCTTTTACTGTACATAAAAATAAAATATGCCATAAATATACATGAAGTGCTGTTATTGATAAAAATCAAGTACAAATGAGATACATTAGAATGAAAATGTGAGTGTAATCACAGAAGACACATCAATAGTAATAAAGGCTGGCATTTATTAAAGTAAATTAAACATGGAAGGATGAATAGATCCTCATGTAATGAAACAGTGTTCAAAAATCACTGGAACACATCAGACTCATAGAATGACAATTGCTTTAAATAGCACTCTGACCTCAGAATCAGACCTTAAAGCATTCCGGTCTGTCTGAAAAGCCAATGAAAACACTTCAGGCTTGGAAAGCTGAGACACTGTGGCAAAAAAAAATATCCTACATGAAAGACTTCAGTGGGTGATACTCCAGCAGAAAGAAGTGGTCATCAAAGAAGGTTGTACTTTTCTCTGAAGGGAGGAGAGAACTTCTACTTTGCTTGCCTTGTCTAAATACTGATGGAGTTTGTAGATTCAAAAGGCTTCCATAGCCAAGACAGCTCATGTCAAGAGCCTCAGGTTGATCACTGACATCATATATAAAATAGTGTTAATTTTTCAATTAACAACAGGAGTCACTGTGCACTAACTTCCCATGCAGGACCTTTGTCCTCAAAGAGTTATATTATAATTATGTTTAAGTGCTCATAAAAGATGTATCATTCTTGGGTGCATCTATAAAGTTAATTTTCTTTAAAAAGGTGAAATTGACTTCAAGATGCAATGACTTTGAACAGCCCTTGTCTCAACTGTTGAGGAACAGTTTTTTTGAGTGTGTGTGCAAATTGTTGAACTCTTTATTTAGTAGAGTTGGTCTTCTGTGTGTAAAGTTAAACGAAAATAGATCTTACTGGAGAATGGGACTGGGAATGGGAGAGAGAGGATGAGTGGAGGTGGGAGAGTGGGTGGGAGGGCAGGTATGTTGGGAAGAATCACTCTATTCCTAAAGTTGTATTTATGAAATGCATGAAGTCTGTATTTCTTAAACAAACGGTTTCTTTGGGGAAAAAGATCACTGGAAGTAGAAGATGCGATGGTCAAGGAATCCAAGAGTTAAAAGCAATAAAATATCATGAGAATGACATGGAAATGATATCTAACGGTAGAATTATAGAATTTAAATATGCTTCACAATGAATTGCATAGATAAGGAACACCTATTGCTATTTCTCTAAGAAAATGTCTAGAACTTTGAAAGAAGCTCCTGTACTCAGCTCCAGCAGAACAGAGCAAGCCAAAATGGAGTCATGTCTCATAATCAAATTGAAGCTATAATGAAGTAAATAGATTTCAAAACACAGTACTTTTTCCTAAAAACAGGAGATTCCAGTCTTCCTGAGTTAGTATACCAAGAAGGTCCCCATGCTTTAACCCATTCAAAGAAGCAACTTGGAGTAACTTAATGTTAGCCACTTATTTTTCTATTTTTTAATCCCCAACTTACAAAACCCACTGTTTGCTACTGAACCCTTGGAGTTTTCATTCTGCTTTGTAGAACATAGGCTTCCCCAGTTCAAGAACTGTAAGTAAAAGCCAATTATTCAATACCTAAATTTGCTAGAATTTTTTCTAATGAGAGTCAACATCACTATTCATAAACAAAACTATACTTAATAAAGTGAATAATACAAACAATTACAAACAATATAAATTTAGTGAAATTACTGAAGGTATACTGTAGTGACTATTACCCATAATAAGATCAAATCAAAATTTACTCTAACGAGTGGACAGTACTTGGAAGAAAAATATAGCTGTAACAATGTTAAATGAATAATTAATAGTTGTCTGTGCAATTATTTAATATGTGGACAGGTGGCAAATTTTAGAATATTTATTTTAGCTGATATTTAATTTCTATCATGCTTATTTCATATTCCATCTACAACATAGAAAAAAGTTGGGCTAACATATCCTAGATTTCACATGCTAATACAACATCTTGAATAACATCAATCGCAAGTAAGATACAAGAAGCTACACTCATACAAGAAACATCCCTAGAATAAAGATGCATTGTTTGGAATCAAGAAACTTTAAATTTAGTCTCAATATCCCACTGTCTCATTTAAGGTATTGCTCACCTTTTGGTTTTTAGAAATTCTGCAGTACAGGCAAACTGTTGGAATAAAAGATTAACAATACACTAAAATAAAATGACTAAAACTTTCTTTCTAATGGGGTTTAGGATGGGTACTAACTTATTTCATTGGTGTAAAAAGCTTATTGAAGAGTTTAGCCTACAGGACTCGTTAAGGATGAGTAGGAATTATTACTTTATTATAGTAATTGTACATTTCTGGTCTAGGATAGCATGTAAAGTGAGGATAATGTTCCCAGTTTAGCTATCAGTAGCTTTTTTGACACCTCACAGAATGGATTTGAGATTTAAAAACACAGAATATGAACAGTTATACACTATATACAAATATATACTCTATATTGAAATGCAAACTGTTACCCATAACCACTAATTGACTAGAAGAGTAACTCAAAATTTTTATACTAGGATGGTATCTTAAATTCCAATCTGAATAATCTCTATCTTACAGAAGACTGTCAATTTCATGCAAACACTTCACAATTAAAGGAAAATAGCAATGTAATCAAAAACCTTCACTACCTAATTTATTTTCTTAAAATGCTGCTTTACTCAAATAGTTGATTTTGCTGTCTCTGTGTGCTCTTAGTTAAAAAACAAAGGAATATGTCCTAGAAATATAATATAACTTATGTATTTGAATAAGTCTTAGCCTGAATTAGAATTTTGACTTTTTTCCAGACAGCATTTACCTGAAGTTCACAAATGCATTTGTAACATAACTGTGCAAACTCATATAAAAAGATAAGTCAATAAAGGAAAGTTTCTGAAAAACGGATAAACTAAAATTTAGTGTGAACAATCTAGTGCCCAAAGTTTAAACAAAATAATTATGCAGGAAAAATATTACACATAAATAAAAGTTTGAAGATTACAAAATCTATCTTATTATAATGCAACTCTCAACTTTTATTTGAGGAAACTGATGTTAGAAGCATTAAAAATTTTTTGCTCGATTACAAATAGCCACGATAGGTTTATTTATAGCAAACAAAGTCTTCTTACTCCCCCTGGAGATGAAGTAATTATTTGACTGCTTAGTTGGAGCTGGACAATTCCATCTTGGTGATTCTTAAAGATACATGTTTTCTCCTCCTTCCTCCACCTGTTTTGCTGCCTCAGCATTTTTACTACTCTTAATATTTCAGGAATGTCTGCATCAGTACTTTTTTTTTTTTTTTTTTTGACAGGCAGAGTGGACAGTGAGAGAGAGAGAGAGAAAGGTCTTCCTTTTGCCTTTGGTTCACCCCCCAATGGCCGCCACGGCTGGCGCGCTGCGGCCGGCGCACCGTGCTGATCTGAAGCCAGGAGCCAGGTGCTTCTCCTGGTCTCCCATGGGGTGCAGGGCCCAAGCACTTGGGCCATCCTCCACTGCACTCCCGGGCCACAGCAGAGAGCTGGCCTGGAAGAGGGGCAACCGGGACAGAATCTGGCGCCCCGACCGGGACTAGAACCCGGTGTGCCGGTGCTGCTAGGTGGAGGATTAGCCTATTGAGCCGTGGCATCGGCCACATCAGTACTTCTGAATATGAACCATCCAATTTCTGTGACCTGTGCCACATCAATGTATTGTACACCTGGAGACAGGAAGCAATAAACTCTCTACTAAGAGCCTTCTTAGGTGATTTTTATGTAAGTCAAAGTATTAAGAGCACTACTATGAGTTCCCCAAACAAAGATCCTTCTACTTTTCATTTAATACCCAAAAGAATCAAGGATAGCTACCTTATTTGTTTCGGCTAACCATCTTTAATTCATAGTGTCACGAATGAAAATGTTATCACGCAGTGAATATTCCTTATTTTCCCAGGAAATTACTGAACCTACTTTCCATGAATGAGTGAATGCCAATGCATAATAGTGTTTTATCATTTGTCATTAATTCTTTCTAGCTCTTTTGTTACTACTCTCTTGATGCGTGAAACAAACTGAGGATAATGGCACTGATTAATGAAAGCCACCCTAAGGAGTTCATTCTACTCGGCTTTGCTAACCATCCATGGGTACAGCTTCCTCTCTTCATTGTTCTCCTCATAACATACCCCATGGCCCTGCTGGGAAACATTGCCATCATTCTGGTGTCCAAGATAGACCCCCGTCTCCACAGCCCCATGTATTTCTTCCTCACCAACCTCTCCTTTCTGGACATGTGTTACACCACAAGCATTGTCCCTCAGATGCTGTTTAACCTGGGAAGCTCCAAGAAGACCATCAGCTACATGGGGTGTGCAATTCAGTTGTATGCCTTCAGCATAATGGGGGGCACAGAGTGTCTGCTCTTGGCACTTATGTCCTTTGACCGCTATGTGGCCATCTGCAGACCCCTGCACTACCCGCTCATCATGAATCAGCGCATTTGCATCCTGTTAGCGTCTGTGGTCTGGCTGGGTGGAATGGCCTATGCCTTCTCAGAAGCGACCATCACACTACAGTTGCCATTGTGTGGTATCAATACACTGGATCACTTGCTGTGTGAGATTCCGGTTCTGATAAAGACTGCCTGTGGTGAAAAGGGGGCTAATGAGCTCACACTCTCTGTGGTGTGCATTTTCATGTTAGCTGTCCCTCTGTGTTTAATTCTTGCTTCCTATGCTAGTATCGGACGTGCTGTATTTAAGATTAAATCTTCTGAAGGAAGGAAAAAAGCTTTTGGGACATGTTCTTCTCATCTCATTGTAGTTTTCTTATTTTATGGCCCAGCCATTAGCATGTACATTCAGCCCCCCTCCACCATCTCAAAGGACCAGCCCAAGTTCATGGCTCTCTTCTATGGAGTGGTGACTCCTACACTCAACCCTTTTATCTACACTCTGAGGAATAAGGATGTAAAAGGGGCAATATGTAACCTGATAAGGAGTATTTTTCGTTCCAAGTGATAGGTAGTGGATATAAAATGATTTTTAACAAGTGGTTTATGTTTAATAGTTTTAATAACTCTTTTTTATCTCATAAATAAAATGTTAGATGTTCTCTTATGAAACTGTATTTCTGACATTGTTACAATTGTGTTGAACAAGGATAATATTCAATAGGTATGCACCAGTATGGTCACTTTGTAGAAACAGATTTAAATAGTTCTATTCTGGTTTTTACATTCTGAAATAGTAACTATTAAGTAGTTCAAAAATTAGAAATATAGACTCAGTGGTTGAAGCTCATCTCCATAAAAATACTACTTATATACAAAAAAATTCCATATAGAGAAAACATTAGTATAGGGAAAACTCATGGAAATGTTTATTTGTGCTAGAGTGCTTCATATTTCTGAGGTATATTTATAATACATTCAATATATTCAAGCATTTAGTTAGCTTTTGAGAATTTTTGTTGAAAGGAAGGTGTGTGTGTGCACATATATATATATATATATATAACATTTGAAGGTGAAAATATGCTCTACATTTGCTGTAAACTATAAAGCAATCCTGAAACTAACTTTTTAAAGTAGGCAATATAAACCATTTCTCATTTTCCCAAATAAGTAAGCTTTTCATGAAGAGCAAACAGAAGACAGCAAACAAATGATTAAAAAAATAAAAATAATTGGTAAGGCAGACATGCATTTAAGAAACTCTCTAGGGTAGAAATCAAGATATTTTAACCATGATTTTCTCCACAATAGAGTTTGCCTCTGATCTACATAGTATGATAACTACATGCCAAGAAGTACACACTATATTAAAGAAATATTAAAATAAATATCATAATCTAGTTCAACACATGCCTTTATGACTAATAAAATCCAGTATCTTCTCAATATGTGGTTCTCAGAATTATAATGTTTTCTGGGAGTCTCAGGTCACTGGGCGTGACAGTGAAGGTCAGAAGCATTAAACATGGTGGAGTAGAGAAATCCATTTTAGATTTTGTTTAGAAAAAAACCACTGGACAGAAACATGGATGACTACTTTCACAGTTCTCTATGAGAAGTAACCATTTTACTTTATATTCAAATTGTTATTGAAAGAGTGCAATTTGAATAAAGAGCAAATTTCTACCTGAATCAAAACTATGTGTGTAATATATGTAAAGATGAAGTGAAATATCAATGTCTAATGAGAATTCATGTAATCACTTAGGAACTAATTCCATATAAATCTAAAATCTGAACATGTTTATTTTCACTGATTGCCAATATCCAAAGGAATTTTTACCTATTTCTGGATTTGAAAGTTTCTACTATCAATTTTGAGGTCTTGGTGTGCAGGGATACTAGGCACATGAGGCAATTCAAAGATGGCGCCTAAAGGAAGTAAGGTGGGCGGTACCCAAGGTTGTTTACCACCAAACGCAATTGGCTGCACAGCATCAGGAGAGGTGATGACGACTGATGACAAATGTACAGACATATGGCTGGTCCTGTAAAAAATCGCCCCGTAAAATGACCTTTTAAGTAATTGGTTGGTCCTTATGCCCTGCCCCAATAATCCTGCAGTTTTGTGCTTTAAAAGGCTTTGCTATGTGCGCAAAAAACGATTTCCTGCTTGACTCGACTCCCCGCTGTGTCTGATTGTCTCTGGGATCAAGGGAGGCTGGGGAACAGGCAAGCGGTGCACTTACCTTTCCTCTGACCCAGTCCATCTTCGTTTGGGTGGACTAAGACCTTGCACTGGTGTATTAAAATACACTAAAATTAATTATTTTACAAGCAGCATTAAATAATTGATCTAAATAGTTATGCTGTTTCACATAGAAGAAAATTAAACCTACTGTATTAAAGGTCTCTAGCTCCACTTCTTATTACTCTTCCTTTTCAGCCAGCACATTGTACACCTTCACTGAAACCACAATCACCTCCCATATTAACCACAGTATGAAGTATTGTCAATTATTTCACAGAAACTCTGCATTATCTTTTTTTTTATTTTAATTGTTTTTATTTCAAAGTTTAGAAAAGGCATCTATTATATACTGTGTTTCAGTTACGTGCAAACCTAATGCACAAGTAAAGGGTATTGCCCTTCCTCCCAGCAAACCTTTTTTTTTTTTAACTTTTATTTAATGAATATAAATTTCCAAAGTACGACTTATGGATTACAATGGCTTCCCCCCCATAACGTCCCTCCCACCCGCAACTCTCCCCTTTCCCACTCCCTCTCCCCTTCCATTCACATCAAGATTCATTTTCGATTCTCTTTATATACAGAAGATCAGTTTAGCATACATTAAGTAAAGATTTCAACAGTTTGCTCCCACACAGAAACATAAAGTGAAAAATAATAGATGATTTTTTTAAATGATGATGAAATCAGATCAGACCTATTGTCATGTTTAATCCCAGTGAGAGTCAAGTTGGGAATTGATAATTTCTTTTTTTTTTTACAGAAGATCAGTTTAGTATACATTAAGTAAATATTTCAACAGTTTGCACCCCCATAGAAACACAAAGTGAAATATACTGTTTGAGTACTCGTTATAGCATTAAGCCTCAATGTACAGCACATTAAGGACAGATATCCACATGAGGAGTAAGTGCACAGTGACTCCTGTTGTTGACTTTACAAATTGACACTCCTGTCTATGGCATCAGTAATCTCCCTATGCACCAGTCATGAGTTTCCAAGGCTATGGAAGCCCCTTGAGTTCTCCGACTCTTATCTTGTTTAGACAAGGTCATAGTCAAAGTGGAAGTTCTCTCCTCCCTTCAGAGAAAGGTACCTCCTTCTTTGAAGACCTGTTCTTTCCACTGGGATCTCACTCACAGAGATCTTTCATTTAGGTTTTGTTTTGGTGGTGGTGGTGTTTTTTTTGTTTTGTTTTGTTTTGTTTTTGTTTTTGTTTTTTTGCCAGAGTGTCTTGGCTTTCCATGCCTGAAATACTCTCATGGGCTTTTCAGCCAGATCCGAATGCCTTTAGGGCTGATTCTGAGGCCAGAGTGCTGTTTAGGACAACTGCCATTCTATGAGTCTGCTGAGTATCTCGCTTCCCATGTTGGATCACTCTCCCCTTTATTTATTCTATCGATTAATATTAGCAGGTACTAGACTTGTTTATGTGCTCCCTTTGACTCTTAGTCCTTTCATTATGATCAATTGTGAAATGAAATTGATCACTTGGACTAGTGAGATGGCTTTGGTACATGCCACCTTGATGGGATTGAATTGGAGTCCCCTGGTATGTTTCTAACTAAAAAAAAAAAAAGATTTTATTGACAGCACCCCGGCTCAATAGGCTAATCCTCTGCCTGTGGCACCAGCACCCTGGGTTCTAGTCCCAGTTGGGGCACCGGATTCTGTCCCGGTTGCTCTTCTTCCAGGCCAGCTCTCTGCTGTGGCCCGGGAGTGCAGTGGAGGATGGCCCAAGTCTTGGGCCCTGTACCCGCATGGGAGACCAGGAGAAGCACCTGGCTTCTGGCTTCGGATCAGTGCCATGCGCCGACCGCAGCACGCTGGCCACAATGGCCATTGGGGGGTGAACCAATGGAAAAGGAAGACCTTTCTCTCTGTCTCTCTCTCTCACTGTACACTCCACCTTTCAAAAAAAAAAGATTTTATTTATTTATTTGACAGGTAGAGTTGGGGGGGGGGAGGGAGAAAGGTCTTCCTTCTGTTGGTTCACACCCGAAAGGGCCGCAATGGCTGAAGCTGTGCCAATCCAAAGCCAGGAGCTTTGTCCCAGTCTCCCACATGGGTTCAGGGGCCCAAGCACTTGGGCCATCCTCCACTGCCTTCCCAGGCCACAGCAGAGAGCAGTACCGGAAGAGGAGCAAAGGAGACTAGAACCAGCACCCATATGGGATGCTGGCGCCACAGGCTGAGGATTAATCTAGTGTGCCATGGCACCGGCCCCTGCATTATCTTTTTTAAAGAATATTTATTTATTTGAAAGGCAAAGTGATAGAGAGAGAGGGGGAAAGATAGAAAGAGATATATTCCATCTACTGGTTCACTCTCCAAATGAACACAATAGCCAGGACTACGCAAGGCCAAAGTCAGAAACTAGGAACTCCATCCAGGTCTCCCACTTGGGTAGCAGGCACCCAAGTGTTTGGGCCATCTTCCTCCACTTTCCCAGGTACATTACCAGGGAGATGGATGGGAATCAGAGCAGCTGGGACTCCAACAGGCACTCTGATATGGGATGCTTGTGTCACAAGCAGCATCTTAAGCTACTGTGGCACCGAGTTGGCTGGCCCACATACATTAGATTTTAATTCAATTTTCCACTAATCTTTTTAAGTACTCTCATATGTAATGTACTATTTCCTAAACTATTCTGCACTTTCACTATCCTGTGCATTTATTTATTTTTGCATTCAATAGTGCCTCTTCCCATTTTCCACCTCCTTAAATTCTTTCTGGGGCCAGCGCTGTGGCTCACTTGACTAATCTCCTCCTGCAGTGCTGGCATCCCATATAGGTGCCAGATTCTAGTCCTGGATGCTCCTCTTCCAGTCCATCTCTCTGCTGTGGCCCAGGAAGGCAGTGAAGGATGGCCCAGGTGCATGGGCCCCTACACCCACATGGGAGAACAGGAAGAAGCACCTGTCTCCTGACTTCCGATCAGTGCAGTGCTCCAGCTGTAGCGGCCATTTGGGGGTGAACCAACAGAAGGAAGACCTTTCTCTCTGTCTCTCTCACTGTCTAACTCTGCCTGTCAAAAAAAAATTCTGAGAATGTGGAAGGCAGTAAGTGCTAAAATGCATCTTTGAAAATGTGCTTCTGGAACAGATTAAGAAAACTAAATATCTCCAAAATATGAAAATGTAAAGGTATTTTCCTAGGGAGAAGGCCAAAATATATAATATTTAGTAAGAGTATTTGGGGATGTATCATTACCTGAAGGAATGCCATAATTAAGGAAATACATGAGAAAGACAATTCACAAATATTGAAGAGCTCTCATGAGTTAGTAAATATGTTAGACACTAAGTATT